AGCCCCTGAACTCTCCTTTATGTTTTCCTATGTGTCCATGTACACATACTCGTTTACAGGCAGTTGAGTTTACAGTCGTTTTTTTTGAACGCACTAAACTTGTGTTTAGGAGTAGATTTTATCAGCATTTCAAACGCCAAATGCTGTAAACGTGGTACCGCGTTTATAAGCGTTTGTATTTAGAAGCGTTTTTTAACTGTTCCATATCCAGATGCTGTTTCATCATCAGAAATGCATGCAAAGCGTTTTCCATGTATTCAAATGGACCTGGTACACCAGCACAGTCAGTTCCAGGTTTTGCGCGAAGGAAAAAATGGTAGAATGTGCCGCATTATGTTCATGATGGGATCCATAGTGAAAACAACCAGAAAAAACAGGTAATCTCAACACATACTACTCTCTCTGCTTCTGCTCTCTCTATTTCTATCAAAATGTCTGAAATAGTTAATTTTGTACTGTTTTTCAGTGCATTCTGGGCATTTGGGAAGGTCTCCTGAGGTTATCTTTAAAAAACGCTTCTATACACAAATGCTCATAAACACGGCATGCAAATGTGGCTAAACAGATGTTTTTTAACCTACGTTTTCCAACAGTCAGTTTCCCTCATTCAGAAGAGTTTTCCAAACCTCCCGTGTACATGAACTCCTTACCATGTTAAAATATCCATACTTGGAACCCCTTCTATAATGATGCCATATCATTCTGCCCGGTCATTTCCATTTCCATGAATTTATAAATTAAGTTGTAGAGGGGACAGCAGAGATCACACAATACATTGTATAGTGCTAATTGCTGCATGTAACAGAATGCACACTAATTACAGTAGGACTGCCTTGTAAAACAGACGTTTGGCAAAGCCAACTCATCTCTCCCTCCCACGAGTGATAAGTGGGGTGGTTTCCTTGCGATTAGAAGTTTCTCCTTTTCAGCTACTTGGCTCTATCCACCATCAAGCTCTCTCCACTCCCCGAGAAGTAGAATATTTTTACATGGATGCTACAACAACGCAGAGATTATAACTTGGCTGACATTTCAGTCTGTGTTGGGATGTCGATGACAGATGGAGCCTGAGCATACATAATAAAATAACATAATGGCTCCCTGCTGAGGCATCTCCGCAGCCGTGTGACTCTTAATTAGTCTTTCATACATTTCACCAAAAAGCTGACATGGGAACAAAATGGCTCCCAGCAAGAAGACCGCAAAATTTCCATTGTTCTGTTTAATGGCAAAATGTTAGGTGACATTTTTGAAACGAACTACAATCTCCTACTAGGACTGGGTGGGAAAGAGCCTCCAAACCCTGAATACAGGAACTTCAGTCCCAAAAAGGTTAACCCAACTGCAGGGGAGTCCAGATGATGACCAGGAGACAGCCAGCAGGGGTCTGTACGGTGGGGTAGTGCAGCACACAGCTGAGTGAGCAATGTGGACTGGCTGGTGACTGAGAAATGGTGGCTGAAATGTGGAGGCCTCCTCTTTGGGAATCCTGAGGCAGGAGGGAACTTTTGAAAACCCTGTTGAGGGACAAATTTACAGGTGGTGAGCACAGTTTTTATTTGTGTATTCCAGAAACTGATGGACTGTTTTTGTTTGTTTTTCCACACAGAATACACGCTGTTTTTTATTTGCCTGTTTTTGGAAATTAAAAGGGTGTTTGCTTTTACCAAACCAGCTGGTTGGTGATCCGGGTTCCAGTTTTACAGTACATGTACATGATGATACTGTTCAAAAGCAAACTGCATAACTATACAATTTTAGGATTATATAATTATATAAGAATATAATTATATAAGTAATTATATATATAATAATAATAATAATAATAATAATATTCTTATATAAGTTGAAAATTCAAATTTGGCCTGTCAAATCTGTGATAGTATTTGGGGTCAGACAGCATAAAGGTCCTTTAAAGTGGTATTAAACCCCAAACCAAAAATATTATATATTGCACCTTACCAATCATTAGATGCAGTGGCTGGATTCATTTTTTTTTTTAGGCCTTTTTCCTCTGTTTTCACCTGGTGATCTGGCCAGTAACACATTTTTTTTGCCTTCATCTGGATCAACTGTGGGTATAGGATTATAACTTTTTTTTTTTTTTATGGTTGAACTGGATGGACGTTTGTCTTTTTTCAGCCAGACTAACTATGTACTGTAACTATGTAACATTATTAGAGTGCCACCACTCTGGATGAAGGAGCACAGGGGCACCTTTCGAGAGCAGCATTGTCAGTCTGCGGGGAAGGGAGTGCTAGATGTACTAGCAGGTTTAGATATACTAAAAAATTGAAGCTGAACTCCACCTAAAGGCTGGTATACATGGACCGAAAATTGGCTTTGTTTACTACTGTCTGTATAACAGAATCCCTTCTAATGACCGGCCTCTGTTGAAGGTCATGCTGCAAAACCGGTCATTGATTAAAGCTTGCAGCCAATGACTGCAGTGCTGATCTGTGTATTCAGGGGGGGTTGTTTGCTGTCAGAATACAATAGTGCAGTGGGGAGATCCCTGCATCCACATTGCTTGTGTGGTGGATCTGTGAGATTTTTCTTTCGCCTAAACTGCTGGTTGAATTAAAAAAACTTGCCATGTATACCCTTAACACTTTATAAGCTTAACACTTTATAAGCAGTGTTTTTACTTTTGAGATAAAGGTATTATATGAATAAATAAAAGCTGGCCATTGTGAGCACTCCAGTCAGTGGTAAATGGCTTGTCTCAACCCACTAACTGCTACTTTGTCTGGACAGCTTGGTCTGTTAAAGGAAGTTGAAGAACAAGAGACTTATTGGTCAGATCACTAGGTGAATATAAATGAAAGCTGTAAAAAAAGAAAACTAATGCAGCCATCACATATAAGAATTGATAAGCTGATATATAATAAATATTTGCTTCTAGGTTTAATACCGCTTTAAGTCGTCACACGCTGTGGATGTAAAGCTAAATGGGCACAGTAACCATCTAGTGTTTCTGAGAGGAAAAAGAAAATGCTCTTCTATCTTTTATTATATAGGTTTTCACAGGTAAAGTGTAATATTATTTTGAGCCTCACAGCACAATGTAAAACTATGCATTGAGACAGTGGGTGGACATATCACCCAAATTGTTGGCAGGAATCTTGTGCTGCAGCACTTTGTGTTCTCACTAGTAGAGCATGGTATGAAAATTTAACTGCTTAACATGCGGAAATGCCAAAATGATGAACTGTAAAATTAAATTACACCCATTAATTGAAGCAGAGCTGCTGTGCGGAGGGAAGAACTTCCACACTGTACCCCTCTGCAAAACAGCAGCAGATCATTATCCCAAAATGAGCTTACAAATAAGAATATTGTACTCAGACTGTACAAAATACGTTATATAAAAAAAGAAATCATTTTAATAGCTTGTTGATTATTTTTGGACATTTCATCATGTATGACTTCCTGTCTACTAAAACAAACTCTTTATCTATGATGAACTTCATGCAGACAAAACACATCATCTAATGCAGTAACATAATGATTAAAAATCATTTAATTTGTTTTTACATAAAACTACAATACGTACCTGAATTTGCATCGATATCAGCCTTCTGTAATGCTCTGCACAACTGAGATAGGGGTGGTCATTTCTGTATGCCAAGCACAGCTCTTTTGCTTTGCTCAGTGCTGTCATGCTGACAGGAGGACAGCAGTGTGTGCCATTGGCATTCTGTCTGTACTTAATTGCCCAGTCTGGGAGTAAGATGGTGAAGGTTTCTAAAGCGAGCAAAATCCTCTCTTGTTATAAAAGAGGTATAGACTCCAGAGAGAGAGATATCATATTACCCCGGTACAAATCATTAGTAAGACCTCATCTGGAATATGCAGTTCAGTTTTGGGCACCAATTCACAAAAAGAACATTGGGGAACTGGAGAAAGTACAGAGAAGGGCAACTGATACGAGGCATGGAGGAGCTCAGCTATGAGGAAAGATTAGAGGAACTGAATTTATTCTCTCTTGAGAAGAGGAGATTAAGGGGGATATGATCAACATGTATAAATACATCAGTGGTTCATATAGTGAACTCGGTGTAGAGCTATTCATCCTGAGGTCATCACAGAGGACAAGGGGGCACTCTTTACGTCTGGAGGAAAAGAAATTTAATCTCCAAACACGGAAAGGATTCTTCACAGAGAGAGCTGTGAAAATGTGGAATAGACTCCCTCAAGAGTTGGTTCTGACCAGCTCAGTGGATTGCTTTAAAAAAGGCCTGGATTGTTTCTTAGATATACAGAATATAACTGGATACTAACATTTATAGGTAAAGTTAATCCAGGGAATATCCGATTGCCTCTCAGGGGATCAGGAAGGAATTTTTTTCCCTGCAGGAGCAAATTGGATCATGGTTTGCTGTTTTTTTTTGCCTTCCTATTACCTATTGGCATTAGAATCCAATAGGTAAAACAATTACTTAACCACCTCCCGCCTGCCATATGTAATATGATGGACGCAAGGTGGTTCTCTTGTTCAGGGAGGACATCATATGACGTCCTCCCATTCTCACCGCGCATGCGCGGCTCAGGGGGCGCGCGGCGATCAGCGGTGCGCTGTGTCCTTTGGACACAGCGGATCACCGATCACAGACAGAGCCGAAGCTGTCAGCTCAGTCATGTGATCAGCTGTGTCCAATCACAGCTGATCACATCTAAACAGGGAAATGCTGGGTATCGGCATTTCTCTCCTCTCGAGCTGTCACGCTGACAGCTCAAGAGGAGAGGAGAGCCGGTAATCGGCATTCCTCGGAGGGGACATGTACACTGATCAGTGTGCCCTGATGGTCAGTGTAGCCCCAGCAGTGCCACCTGTCAGTAGTCCATCCGTGCCTTGTGTCAGTGCTCATCAGTGCCTCGTGCCAGTGCCCATCAGTGCCACATCAATGCCACATATCAGTGCCTACCAGTGCACATCAATGCCACATATCAGTGCCCATCTGAGCTGCCTTTCAGTGTCACTCATCAGTGCCAGTCAGTGCCACCTATCAATGCCAATCAGTGCCACCTATCAGTGCTGCCGATCAGTGCCACCTATCAGTGCCATTCAGTGCCGCCTATCAGTGTGCATCAGTGCCACCTATCAGTGCCTGTCAGTGCCGCCTATCAGTGCCAGTCAGTGCCGCCTATCAGTGCCATGTATCAGTGCCAGTCAGTGCCGCCTATCAGTGCCAGTCAGTGCCGCATATCAGTGCCATGTATCAGTGCCAGGTATCAGTGCTGCCTTTCAGTGCCCATCAGTGATGCCTGTCAGTGCCCATCAGTTCCACCTACCAGTCCCTCCTCATCAGTACCACCTATCAGTGTCCATCAGTGCAGCCTATCAGTGCCCATCACTGCAGCCTCATTAGCACACATCAGTGAAGGAGAAAAATCACTTATTTACAAAATTTTATAACAAAAACGTTTTTTTTTTTTTTTTACACAAAATTTTCAGTGGTTTTTGGTTTCTTTAAGAAAAAATAAAAAACCCAGAGGTGATTAAATACCACCAAAATAAAGCTCTGTCACAAAAAAATGCTAAAAATTTCATATGGGTACAGTGTTGCATAACTGCGCAATTGTCATTCAAAGTGCGACAGCGCTGAAAGCTGGAAATTGGCCTGGACAGGAAGGGGGTATAAGTGCCCTGTAGGCTAGTGGTTAATTTTGTTTAAACTTAATAATTACCTAATTTTCTTTTTTAATTTTGCCTTACAGTAGATAAATGATACAACGAATGGATGGATGGATGGATGTCTAGAAAGAGCAATGGATGGAAGTCTAGGAGGAGCAATGGCTGGGTGAAAAAAATGGATGAGTAAATTAATAGATAGGATTAGCCTACTTTACATATCAGTATACAGTGATGAAAATTAAAGTCGGGTTACTGCCCCCAAACGTAGTATAGTCCAGCCAGTGGCTACTTTAACTCCGAGCTTCACAACCAGGTGCCAGTTTGTTTCTCCTTCTCTGGTCTAGATGGACAGCTTGCAGAGAGGAGAAAAGAGGTACTCTAGTGGACCATAAACCTGCCCAACGCTGCCAGGAGAGGAGGAAGTATCATTTGTTGAACAAAAGAGGACTGGGTTTAGATATCTTCCTGAGTCTTCTCTAAGAGCGCCCCAACACTAGCAAACTATGCTTAGACCCTATTGTCCTGTGGCCTGGTTAGGACCTTAACATTCCAGATAGTAGTCATTTATAGCTTTTTTAATGGGTCTATTCCTTGAACCTGTTACTAAGTAAACCTAAATTGGAAAAGCACTATTCACTATAAAGCAAGGTCAGATTTCTGAAAATCATAGTCTCCAAACTGCAGCCTGGGGGCCAGATGTGGCCCTTTGCTTGCTTCTCTCAGGCCCTTGGGGCACTATTCTTCCCACTGACATCAACAAAGGGATAAATCCTGTCACTGATACCAACAATAAGGCACTATTCCTACCAATGACCCCAATAATGGGGTACTATTCCTCCCACTGACACCACGGGCAGGGCGCTATTCTTCTCACTGACACCAATGATAGTGCACTATTCCTTCCCCTGATAACAACAATGGGGCAATATTCCTACAACTAATACCAACGATGGGGTTATGTTTGCTCCTTTTGATGTCAGGGCATTTTCTACTCTCACTGTCCAAAGTCCACCCCCCTGCTTTTTTAGAAACTTTGGTGTCCCTGACCCACGCCATCATGGTGCAAGTGCATGCATCTCATCAACCAGCTTGGTTTCATGTCTTTCGGCTGTTGTAGGGGGGACTGGGTGATGTCATCATTTGGAAAAAACAATTGCTATTATCTTAAAAATTGAAGCAGCACAAAATACAATTTGTACTGCACAAAACAGCACAAACATAGCACTAACAAATGTTATATTTGTTTTGAAGATTTAATAACATGGGTTGTAAAGTGGGTGGAGTTTGATCAAATAAAAACATGCTGTTATAACTTTCCCTGGTCTCCTCCTCCCATGCCCGCCTCCAGGACTTCTCCAGGGTGTCACCCATCCTCTGGAACTCCCTGCCCCAACCCATCAGATTATCACCTACTCTCCTCTCGGCGCACCCTGAAAACCCATCTCTTCAGGGAAGCCTACCCCACCCCCTGCTAACTTGCCAACCTCCTCCACTCTTCCTACCACTCCATCCCCCACAGCTATCTCCTTCTGTGCCACCATCCCCTCCCTCCTAGATTGTAAGCTCGAAAGATCAGGGCCCTCAATCCCCTCATGTTTTGCATTGTATTGTTATTGTTCTGTCACATGTTCTGTCCCCCTTTGTAATGTACAGCGCTGAGCGAACTATTGGCGCTTTATATATACTGTATAATAATAACTAAAAAAACCAGCACAAATAACAATTTTAGCAGCACAAACACGTTTTGTGTCTTTTTACTGTTGTAGGGGGGCGGAGTGACCTTTGGTGACCTTTAATAAATTGTTAATAACGCAAAAATGATATATGACAGAACAGAGAGTTAACCACTTCAAGTCCAGACACTTTCACCCCCTTCCAGTCCAGGCCAATTTTCAGCTTTCAGTGCTATCACACTTTGAATGACAATTGCACGGTCATGCAACACTGTACCCATATGAATTTTTTAGCATTTTTTTTTTAGACAGATAAAACTTTATTTTGGTGGTATTTATTCACCACTGGGATTTTTTTTTTTTTTTTTTTTGCTATATAAATGAAAAAGTCCAAAAATGTTGAAAAAAAGTGTTTTTTCTTATAAATATTTGCAAATAAATAAACTTTCTTCATAAATCTTGGCCAAAATGTGTTCAGTTATCTTTCTAGCAGAAAAAAACAAATAACCCAAAATAGTTTATAACCAAAAATTATAATTTTTAAAACTTATTTTTTTACATTTTTATTTTATTTTTTTATATTTTAATTTTTTTTTTTTTTTTTTTTTACATACTGTCACCGTAGCAGTACTACTTGTGGAGGGTGATGAAGATTTTTCTCCTCCTCTTTTACACCCATGGCTGAATTTTCTTGCAACCATTGAGAAATACTGTGTGAGCTGTGATTGGTCACAGCTTGTCACATGGTACAAAGCTGTTGTGAATAGCCTTGTACCATGTGACCTCTGTGATCATTCATAGATTTCATACGTAGTAAGCAATGATGTCAGAAGTGACATCTTGCTTACTACTCTGCATGTAATCACTGATTGGCCAATTAGTGATCACATGATCTGGACCTCACACAGAGGTCCTGTACAATGATCGGTGTTCCACTGTGTCCGGAGGACACATTGGGCACCGGATCACGTTGCTGCGTGCTTCCGGGAGCGCGCACAAGCAGGGGGCGGGGAGGCCATTTATAAACGGCCACCCAACCCTGCACTGCTTCCGTCCGGCCGTTTATATACATGGGCCGGACGGGAAGTGGTTAAACAGCACAAATGTGGCACTAACCAACCAGCCCAGTTTTGTGTCTTCTGGCTATTGTGGGCGGCTGAGTGACCTTTGATAAATGGTTAATACCACAAAAATGGTAATCGATAGATCGGAGAGGAGCACTAACCAACCAGCCCGATTTCATGTCTTTTGGCTGTTTTAGGAGGACTGGGTGATATCATCATCTGTAAAAAAACAATTGCTAATATCTGAAAAATAAAAGCAGCACAAATTAATTTTTTTTTTGGCATAAAACAGCACAAACCTAGTACTAAAAAAACACACTGGAGTTTTTATTGGTGCTGATTGTTGGGGGCCAGCTTCGCTGAGCTCCAAAATGACCATAGACCATAGTTTTAAAGTAACTGAAATCTATTTACATCAGGAAATTGTTTACTTACTGCTGCAGTTTGAATAATCAAATTATTTGGAATAACTAACTTCTGATAGTTTGAGCCAATGGAAGACATTTACCTCTGGAAAGGCAAAACTGCCACTAGGCAAGACAGTGGCAGCTTGCCAAGCCCATGATACAACGCATGGTTGTATATTCCAGCAGCTTTAGTTAGGATCAACATGATATAATTACAGATAAATAATTTACCCCGGTAAAAGGAAAAGTGTCACAAGAAAATTACATTGTGTACTTGCCAAGTCTTTTCAGTGGGTTCAAATAGCAATTTGAGGTAAGATCAAAATCCAAATATCAAAAAGTATATTATAAGCTACTGACAGCCATTAACCACAAATGTAAGGATTGCAAGGAAAATAAAACAGGTTGAAAATAGTGATCTCTCTGATTTCTACATTTGTGTGCTTAGGTAAAGTGGTTTTAAAGGCTGTTTCTGTGTGCTGCTCCCCCCCCAACTCCTCCCAGTACTTACCTGAGCCTGAGCTTGATCCGTGCTCTGCATGAGAGCCTTGGCTCTCCTATGTCTTTCTCTTCTCATTGGCTGAGACACAGCCACAATCACAGCCAGTGAGGAGCGAGGGGGGGGGGGCTGAGCTGCTGGAGCGTGTTACATTTTGCTTGGTGCCTGTAGACTTGGGGGTAGACTAAGGAATGATTCAGTTGCACATTCCAAGTGATGCTTTAGATATGTCAGGTTTTATGTTCTTATACCTTGCAACAAAAGCAAGAATCATGCATTTCACTTCAGTAGATTGCTAATTTTTGTGTCACCCAGTCCCACAAATTTCAGGGTGACCCCACAATACATTATTCAGTTCTCAGACAGTCCTATTGAGTTAAATTGTAGTCAGAAAATGAGATACGGTTAGGAAGCTGCTTTACTGTTCAGTAGTTGGGTGTGAATGAAGACTAGAAAGCAAAATAATGCAGGAGAGCAAGGTCAGCTCTAATATATGTATTCAGGTTCGGGACAAGGGGTGGGCAGAAGGGGCGGCTTCCTTGGGCATGGTGGGGATTTGTGGGGTGTGCTAGAAGGGGCTATTTGGAGGGGGGGAGGTTATGTACAAGAAAGGTGGTTTGTGTTAGAAAGGTGGATTTGGGGGGGATTTGCGCTTAGTAGGGATGATTGGGGGATTTGTGCTTGGAGGACAAATCTGGGGGGAAGGATCTTAGGGACTAGGAGAGTGGACTTGGGGGGGATATTGTACAGGGAGAGGGGGTTCGGAGGGTGGAGAGGATTTATGCTGAAAGGTGAGATTTGAGGGATAGAAGATTTGTGTTAGGAGGGGAGGTTTTGGGAAGGAGAGGATTTGAGCTGGGAGAGGGAATTAATAGAGGAAGAGGGGCAATTGTTGTTTGGGAAGAATTTTGGCTTGTAAAGAGAATTTATACTTAGGAGGTAAAGTGTGAAGATTACTGCTCAATTTTTTTGAGGGGAGGGGATTTTTGCTGAGACATAATGCTCATGCATTTTGGAAGGGGGGGCACCGTTTGGCATTCTCGCCCTGGGTCCTAGATGACCTTGTTCCAGCACTGTATGTATTATATCT